AGACAGTTTTATTTTTCTAACAGGGTGGTTGGCCTTTGGAATGGGTTGCCTTCAGATGTTGTAGAGGCAGTAAATTTAAGTGAGTTTAAGAAAAAACTTGATAAGTATATTAATGAAAAGAGCTGGGTTTAAATTTTTTCTTAATCATTTTAATTTAGTTTTGAGGATGGAATAGCCGAGATGGACCAATAGGTCCCATGTTGTCCCAAAATATTATGTTAAGTTCACCTATTGAAATGCTTGATCTCAGCGTTGATTTTTCAGTTCACTTAAAGCACTTTTAAATTAACAAACAACAACTTGTAAGCCCAGTGCTATTTATTGTAGAAAACACAAACTACACGTTATTAACAATAGATATAACTGTTATTACAAGACGTTGTTTGTTGATTTACTTCTGTATTAACATAATGTGCTTCCATACACAAGTACTTTACTGTTTAGGTTCTCTAAAGTATTTGTTTATCCCGAAATATGTTAAACAGATGTTAGTGTTGAAAGTCTTCTTCATCTGATAAAAAAAAAACGAAATAAAGAAAACCAATCAACAATTGAAATAAAAGCACAATTCATGCTTCAGACACATGTGGTTTAGTTGACGAACTTATAATAACGACATTGATGGCAGGAACGAAACAAGCCGCAAGGGGAAGTTGAAAAAAAAGATTATTTTTAACTTTGGTTACTGTTAGCCAGTACTGGAGATGTAATGATAGTGAGGTCTTAGCCACTGCTCTGTAATCAGCACTAAAAAAACCTCCGTAACTACACATATGAAATATCAGCAGGAATACAAGAGAAACGTCTGGGGGTGAGACAGACAGACAGGCATGCTTCTTTTTACCCCAGGTACGGATGTAGCAGAGACCAGCAAAGCCCTCGTAAGCTAATCACTAGAGTTACAAAATTTGTGTCATTATATATGAAAAATGCTTTCAGCTCTACAGTCAAATAACAGTGTAGCTCTCCGACGTGGGCCAGGCGGGATGGGTATAATCGTGCTATGTGTGTGAGAACTGTAATTACACCACGCACAAGGTCATTGGAATTCTGCCTGTTGAACATAAGCTCACGTTAATCGTTTGCTACAACTCTCTAAGCCAAAGAAAGCAAGAAACTACACAGCTGTACGGTAGTGGTTCTTATATTCACATATTTTCTTTATTTTCTGTCCACCCGACTCTATAATCAGCTCCTTCATCTGCCGTACAAACTGCCGACTTTTGCTGATAAGACAATCCACGCAAGCAGCTTAAACACATAAACGTCTGACTTTAATTATGATCAGAAAGAAATGTTTCATATTTGTACAGTGTTTTTTTCTTTTTTAAATATCCAAAAAACAAAAAAAACTATTAGATAATTAGATTTTGTTGTTCTTGCTCTTTCGTTTCTTTCCAGACTTTATTTAAGTGTCATTAGTGGCTGAAATTTAAATCAATTTCAAGTGCACGTGGTGTTTCAAGGAAATAAGCACATGAAACTATTGAACTCACAATTTGAACAAAAGTATCGTAGAATGTTCTTGATTAAGACTCCGGATTCGAATTAACGGTCCGTTCATAGAAAGGAAACTATGAAAATCTCGAAAACAACAACAAAAACAACGAAAGAAGTTGAATCAACAAAGATTTTGCGATAACCAAAAGGAAATAAATCTTTTCAATTTTTTTTCCTTCTAGATTAATTTTATAACAGCAGAGAAAACTTGTTTACTGAACGTACTACATAATGGCAAATATTCTGGCACGAATTTGCTCACTTGGGTTGTGCTTATTTAGTAGAAAAGAACAAAGCAATTTTTTTTATACTCCAGTTGCAATGAGGCTTTTTACAACCTCAATCCATCCCAAAGTGTAATTAATGGCAGGCAGGGGGAGAAAAGGTGGGCTGGTGGATATATTGAGGGTTAGTGGAAACTCGCGGTGACATTAAATAAACTCTTACAAGAAACACCAAAACGCCAGCTGGACAAAGGTTTTTTTAAACGGGGGTCTGTAAAGAATGTCGTGATCTCCTCAATGTGACAGTTTCACCAGCGTCGTCACCACATTTTGGGACAACTGCTCAAAAAAACCAATAACCTTTCCGAAGAAATCGGCCTCATTAAAGAATGGGCGATTTGGGAGTCACCATCATAGAGAACGTTGTTAGAAAGCGCGTAGATGTTTCAATTTGTCGACGTCTCTGTGACAGTATTATATTAAGCCAGTTCAGTAAAAGCGAAATTCGAGCATTTCGTTACGTTACTGTACATAGTCATTTTGATGCTGCCCGACTCCAGTGGCTCAGCAGAAAGTCTGCGTGCTTACAACGCTTAAAAATCGAGTTTCAATACCCGTGGTAGGCAAAGCACGGATAGCCCATTGTGTAGCTTTGTGCTTAACAACCAAACAACTCGCTGTTGCCTAGTGAACAAAATCACAACGCGGACAGAGAACAGTAACACTCTGAAATGTACGAGTACAAACGTTTCTTTTGCTGAACTGGCTCGATATTTTTTAGTACATAACATTGTCGTAAGGACGTCATGGAAACTGAAAAATCCCGGCATCTTTTGAACAACTCTATGATGGGATATTTGCAGTCAGTATCTTTTCCAGTCGAAACTGCACAAGTCATTGCCTGGTTTTGAACCTAGGTTTATTCAGAAACTCTACACGACTTTCTTACTGTATCGTATATATATATAAAGTCAGGGTAAGCAGCCATCTCAGGCTCCAGTGTCAGACGGCCATGAAATTTGGAATTATCTCCCTGCATTACCGATGTCATGACAGTCAGCACTCGTCCTCGAGCTTAAGATTACTCTTACGCTCGACATGATTTGCCAGCTATACTGTATTACTACATGTAGTAAAGGATTTAATGGGACTCGAACCTAAGAACAGCACCATGAAAACTGACTTGGTCTGAATACTGAATTGGAACTGTAAAGTAATGATAAGCAGTGTTACCTTTAAAACTGTGTTTACTTAAAAAAGTTGATACGATCTCGCACTAACGAATTGTTTAACAAATATGGCAGATTTCTGTTTATGGGTAGAAACGTGTGAAATGTTAACGGTACGATGTGTTAAACGTTCCTTATTATGAATAACACTCACATTAAGTGAGTTGAAATAATAAGTAATATTTGTTTTTTAAAATTTAAAATTATTTTCATATGGCTGTGTTTATCTGACAGAAGAAGTCAAGAAATTTGCCTAAGACACTTATATATGCGTAGCTAAATTTTCAAATTGCATAGATTAATAACTTACGCAATCTGACAAAATGAAAAACTCAAAAGCAAAAAATAATAAAACGGTGAGGCAATAGGATCAAGGGTGTGTGTGAAATAATTACAAATTAGGGTAAACAATAACGTTGAAAAAATGAAGTAAACGTATTATGGAAGTTGGGTATAGAAAGGAAACCGTGCATTTATCAGTATCCTATAAACAAACGAGTTTAAGTTCAACCTATGCCGCGAGAGTGCGCTCTAGTGTCCGAGATTTGTGGGCACAAGGTTAGTCAGCAGTGAACCAGTGGGCGGGAGTTCAGTTTCAGCGGCCATCCATCATCAGCGGCTTTAAGTGCAGACTGAGGCCACAGTCAGCCCATTATGTGCTGATATGAGGGATGGCCAGGGCGCGCGTTTTTAATTGGCACAAAGATTTCCTATCCTTCTTTGAAAACAAGTCGCCGCCGTTTGGAGAAAATCCATTTTTGTTTCTCTACTTCACTGTCGTGCCAGAAAACACGTGTTTGATGTGCAGGTCGTCCACGTTCACCTGGAGGACAAAAATCGGCAGGACATGCGTGACTTACTGGACATTGTATATGTACGCGCACACACACACACGCACACAAATCAAACATTAGTGACACGTGCACACAAATCAGTGTTTCGAATAATATACAACAATATTATTACCGGATTTGTACATTCTTAAGAACATAATAGGTGTTAACCAATAATAAGTAGTATTTCGGATAATGTACTACGACATTATTAACGGATTTGTACATTCTTAAGAACGTAATAGGTGTTAATCAACAATAATTAGTGTTTCGAATAATATACAACAATATTATTAACGGATTTGTACATTCTTAAGAATGTAATAGGTGTTAACTAATAATTCAATCTTAATGTAGAATAAAGATAACATATCATTACGTAAAGTCGAACCTGGCTTACTGGCTAGCATACTCGGTCTGTGAAGCTGATGATTTACGATTCTCGGGCCGTTTCCGCGAAAATGCGCTCCGCACTCTAGAGCGCTATAAGAGTAGCTGTTAAATCTCAGTATCCAGTCAGACGAGAGTAGCCAAAGAGTTAGCGGTGGTTCTGTTGACTGGCTACCCATCCTTTAACCTATCAATTGAAAATTAGAGACGGCTATGTCCGGATAGCGCTACGTGTAGCTTAGCGCGGAAAGTCTGACACGAAGTATCGCATGTTCGGATTTGAAGCCTATCAATAAGCTGTGAGAAGACACAATGGGTCTAGTGTTTCGCCTACCTCTAGTTCGTTGCCTTTGGCATAACCGTAATTGCGTTCTGATTTGTTTGTCTGCGAATCCGCGAAGGTCACGCTAAAGTTTGTTTGTCTTATGCTTCTTGTTAGCTGTTGAAATGATATACTTATCAGCTTCACAATGTTCTGTTTCTTCCCTGTAGTTTTTCTGGAGCGTGCAAGTGCTTTAGGCAGGAAATGAAATTCAGAGATAAATATCAAGTTAGTGTACGAGTAATCACTCGCGTTATGCGTTGTTTTAATGACGAATGTAGCCTAAAGCCTTTTTTTTTAAAAGACAATTTTCATTCGTAATTTAATTTGAGCGATCTCGAAGTAAAAATATATAAAATATTGGTAAATTTCGAGCATAAATAGCAAATATTTAGGCTCGTTTTCTGTTTGTGATGAAATCTGAGCCACCACTCAAGCAGGGAAACCGGACGGGCGGTCTCGGCTCAAATTCCACTGCTCTTAGGCATGTCCGTGGAGAAGCGTCTGCGCTGTAGTTCTCCCGCTGTTATTTATCCGTGTGCCAGCCCGTCACAAGTGAAGAGCAAGCTGTTGAGAACGGACCGTAACTGCGGTTGTCTTCTACAGGTGCAGGTATCGTGGTGCCCGTGTGGTGTGTGGAAACTAGATCAGGAAAGTAACTGTGTGTGTGTGTGTGTGCGAGAGCAGTTTCTGTGATACTTACCAATTTCGGTTGATGTATGTAGCAAAAGTACCGGTTTTAACGTTTATTTGGTGTAATCGAGAGATAATGTGCCTAGTTTCGTGAATTCCGGATTTAGGCTCATTTCGTCCTTCACCAGTTTGAGATTAAGAAAGGTTGTTTGAACCAGTCTGGTAGCGTATATACTTCAAACCTTCGTAGCGTCGACTCATGAAGCCATCTTTGAAATTTTTCTGTAACATTTGATTGAAGAAAATCTGCAGTTTTCGTTATTTTCCGAGCTGCAGAGTTTAAAGATATTATTTTGGAGCACTCCTCGATCTTCGGACACACACACACACACATAAAATCCGAAGACACGTGTTCCTGTGATGTCTGAAAATTTTTTCCGGAGTTCTCACCGCTCTTCGAATCTGTAGCCCGTACGCTGAATGAAGTTCACCGGAGGGCTCCAAGTCTCGCCATCGGTGTGGGTCTACCCAGTTATGTGGAGGTGTTCCTCGTTTCTCGTGTTGTTGGCCGCTTTGAGATTAGGCCTAACTCAAGATTCAATAAAAGATGGTAAGTGTAGGTTTCGCTGCACAGAATTAGGGTTTCGTTTTTTTCGTGCAGGTGAAAACAGAACCTTTAAATATGTTTGATTTTTATGCGTTCAGAATAGAAATATTAACTTCAATTTATTCTATCATTGATTTTCCTATCAATCAAACTGGCTCTTCGTAACGAAGTTGTTTCGTCCACGACACGGATTTTTTCTCGAATATTTCTTACAAAAAAACCTGAATTTCTCGAACATTTTCATTTATGGTTTTGCGAAAGTAAGATAATTGTTGTTTGGATAAAGATAGTAAAAACATTTATCAATGTTCTTCAAGTAAGTATAAGTTTTAATTTGTTATTCTCAAGTATTTATACACGAAGTTACTTGTATTGAAATTATCAATAATATTTCATGCTTAAGAGTGTATAACCTGGGATATTTCCATAGCTCCGACGTTCTCCTTTTTGTGTTGGTTATGAGAACGACTAACTGGAAATTTATATATATATAGCTTACGATATATAGAAACGATAAACTAGTCATTCCGATGAAATCGTTTCGGTTTAAGCCCGAACAATAGACCACACATCTCGATGTAATCTTTTCGCTTTACTTACAATCTGTGGACCATACATCTATCTGGATGAAGACGTTTCGGTTTACGCACAAACTGTAGACCATCAACCCAATAAAGTCGTTTCGGTTTACGCCCCAACTTTCGACCATCATCTTGATTTAGTCGTTTCGGTTTACGCCC